CCCTTAGGCTCAAGTGGTAGGACGCGGTAAGATCTGTCAGTATTGTGGCAGGGATCATGGGGACTGATCGCGCTATCGCCTCAACAACAAGTGTCGCATATGTGGTAGTGCCCAACATTATGCAAGGGAGTGCCCAAGGAACCAGAATCAGGTCAGACTTCCTATCCAGGGCAGAGCTTACAATCTCACCCAGCAGGATGCAGAAGCCAACTCGAACGTAATACAGGGTATGTACACTATTTGTAACCATCTTGCTCATGTTTTGATTAATACCGGTGCATTGTATTCATTTATTTCACCTATTTTTGCATCAAAATTTAATGTATTACTTGATAAACTTGATTATGTATTGTTTGTGTCTACTGCTGGGAGTATGACACTATTGTGAGAAGTTGTATACAGAGCCTATATTATAGATATACCAGAAGAAAATTGAGTGTGAACCTAATATAATTAGATATGGGGGACTTTGATGTAATTCTAGAAATGAACTGGCTAGTGATGTATTACACCACCGTAGATTGTTTTAACATGAAGATTGTATTCAATTCTCTTAATGAGGAGCCATTTACAAATTAATAAAATTGTTTAGCATTTATTTCCTCATGGTAAATTTTCTTATTATCGAGTACTTTAACCCTGCTGTTTTCTCTAACTAGGCAAATTCAAGAAAAATATTTGTATTCAAGAGATTCCAGTAGTCCGAGACTTTTTAGATATGTTTCCAGATGAACTACCTGGACTGTTAGTGGACAAAAAAGTCAAATTCATCATAGACCTTCAGTCAGGCACCTAACCCATTTCGCTTGCTCCTTATTGCATGAGTCGTGTTGAGATGGAGGAATTCAGAAAATATATCACTAAATTGCAAGACAATAGGTCTATCCGACATAGTGTGTCCCCTTGGGGTGTCAGAGTCACATTTGCTAGAAAGGAAGATGAGACGTTGAGATTATGTATTGATTACAGTGGTCTAAATAGAGTCACAATCAAGAACAAGTATCCCCTCTCCAAGATTGGTGACATCTTCGATCAGTTGTAGAGTGCCCAGGTCTTCTCCAGAATAGACTCGCGTTCAAGTTACTATCAGGTAAAAATTAGGGTAGAAGACATCCCTAAGACAGCCTTTCGAACCAGGTACGGACACTATGAGTTCTTGGTCATGCTATTTGCACTAACCAATGTTACAGTCATATTCATGGACTTGATGAACATGATTTTCAGACAATTTCTGGATCAGTTTGTTATTTTATTCATCAATGATATCTTGATTTATTCAAAAAGCATAGAGGAACACGCCTACCATCTGACTCAAGTTTTGCAGGTTCTCAAAGGAAATAAAGTGTATGCAAAATTGAGTACGTTTGGGTTCTAGCTTGAACAGACTAATTTTCTAGGACACATCATATCAAATGATGGAGTGTTAGTGAACCCTAAAAAGGTTGAAGCAGTGCTCGGTTGGAAAAAATTGACATCAGTTAAGGAGATCCATAGTTTCTTAGGAATGACGGGTTATTACCGCATGTTTGTGGAAGGATTTTCTAGTATACCTGCTCCTCTGACTTAGCTCATGAAAAAGAATGTCAAGTTTGAGTGAAACGAGGACTGTGAAAGAAGTTTTTCAGAATTAAAGAAGCGGCTGACTATTGTACCTGTGTTGGCCTTGCCGAACGGATCAGATGGATATACAGTTTACAGTGATGCTTCCTACCTAAGTTTGGGTTGTGTTTTGATGCAATATGGGAAAGTCATACTCTACAGGTTTAGACAGTTGAAGAATCATGAGAAAAGCTATCCCACCCATGACTTAGAGCATGCTACAATCATACACGCTTTGAAAACTTGACGCCAGTATTTGTATGGGGAGACTTTTCATATCTATACCGATCACAAGAGTTTGAAACACATATTCATTCAAAAGGATCTCAACATGTTTCAGAGAAGGTAGATAGAACTTTTCAATGACTATGATTGCGACATCTTACCCAAGTAAGGGTAACGTGGTAGCCAACGTGCTTAGCATAAAAAGTGCAGGTACATTAGCTCATTTGATGGTTTCAGAATGCATGCAGATAGGGGCCGCACAACAGGTGTGGCTTCAAGACCTGAAGAGAGTCACATGTTTGGGTCACATGACTATTCAGCCTGAGTTAATCCAGAGAATAAAGGAAGCTCAGTCCACCGATTCTACATTAGCATCCCTCAAGAAAAATGCAGAACAGGGAGTTAACTCAGAATTTCGAGTCTCCGCCGATGGGTTGCTCAGATTTCAGGACAGAGTGTGTATTCTAGGTGACAGTGAATTAAAGAGGAACATTATGACAGAGGCCCATAGCTTAATCTTCATCATGCAGCCCGAAAGCACTAAGATGTACCAAAGTATGCGACTCCGATTTTAGTGGAACGGGATGAAGAGAAAATTAGCTGACTTTGTTTCTCAGTGTTTGGTATGTCAGCAGGTCAAGGTAGAGCATCAAACGCCCAGGGTTACTTCAGCCATTACCAATCCCGAAGTAGAAGTGAGAACATATCACAATGGACTTTGTGACATGATTACCTAAGGCACGCTCAGGACATGATGTCATCTGAATAATTGTTGACCGGCTCACCAAGTCTTCCCACTTCTTAGCCATTAGAATGACTGATTCCTTGGATAAATTAGTAAGAATGTATATCCGAAAAATAGTCATATTACATGGAGTACCAGTGATAGGTTCGCTTCTCAGTTTTGGTATAGCTTTCAGCAAGTCATAGGAACGAAGCTGTCCTTTAGTACTGCATTCCACTCTTATACCGATGGACAGTCAGAAAGGACAATCTGTACACTTAATGATATACTTCGAGCTTGTGTCA